ATGTGTGTTTTGTATGTTGTGTATACACGCAATCGCACGATATTAACCCAACATTGTGTCATTGTGTCTCATTATGAATTACAAAATATATTCTTCTAAAAATGCTGGCTTTGTGTTTGTTGCGTGGTTTACTTTTGATATGCTTGAATGTAATAATGTCTTGGCAGTACAGCGTTCTCTCGAAAGCATGGACAGTGTTCCTGGGACAGACGCGAAGGTTCGATCTCGCGACATTGCAGTTGAAACAATTAGCAGGTTTATTAGAGCCCGCCAACTGAATTCAGCGCAGTGTGTTGATTCAACACAGTGTCTTGATGTTGAATTCAGTAGTTCAAAGTCTTGAGCCACCATCGTCATCATCGTGCAGTCCGACCGCGAGGACGATGACCTGTCTTGCATCGGGAGTCGGTAATCCTTCGGCATCTTTAGACCAGTTTTTTTTTTTTATCGCAATGCCCGCAGGCCGCTGACGGCCGCTGGTGGCCTTTTAGTGCGCCCCTTGATGTGTGGCCCTCGACAATAGACAGATGTGAAAACACCCCCATCATCATCATGGCTGTCAAACAACAATGGTTTCAAGTGTGTGGAGGCCCTCACACTGATGATGTTTTGAAGGCAAAATTGCCTACCCACACCTCCCCCTCCCCCCCCCCCCCCTCTTCTGAAAATGAGTGAAGGACACGGTCTTACACCGTCGTTACATTTGGTTCCTGCGAGTTCGCTTGTTGGCTGAGGCAAGACCGGCGTTTGAACGACACACACCCTTCCGCAGCAGAGATCACGCAAAGTGGGCCGAGGGTAACTCCTCATGTCCAGCTCACCAGTCGACATAGTGACTACCACTGCGGACCCTCGTCCCCTGGCTTGCTGCTATCTCTCCGTGTCTCCAAGACGCCGTCTCTCTCAAGTCACCGAGTAGCTTGAGCCAAGCATGCACGCCACTGCAGCCTGATTGTATCGAACTTTCCCCTGAATCGACAGGAATTCTGCATCGTCTCAAACTCGAGTGAAGTGCATCCTTAAGGCGCAAGCACTGACCTCTAATTCAGTTGCAGGTAGTACCGTCTACTGTCGTCACGGAAGTAGGATCAAAGCCTGACCTGACACGATGACCCACAACGAACTACAGTGGCCCATATTAGGCCAGTGGCCAACATTAGGCCACTGCGACCCACATTAGGTCCCTGTAACCCACAGTGATCCACACTGAACCACAGCCATCCAACATTAGGCCACATTAGGCCACAGTGACCCACATTGGGCCACAGTAATCCACAATAGGCCACAGTGACCACATTAGGTCACAGTGACCATATTAGGTCACTGTGACCACATTAGGTCACTGTGACCACATTAGGTCACAGTGACCACATTAGGCCACATTAGGTCACAGTGACCACATTAGGCCGCAGTGACCACATTAGGTCGCAGTGACCACATTAGGTCGCAGTGACCACATTAGGTCACAGTGACCACATTAGGTCACAGTGACCACATTAGGTCACAGTGACCACATTAGGTTGCAGTGACCACATTAGGTTGCAGTGACCACATTAGGTCACAGTGACCATAGTGACCACATTAGGTCACAGTGACCACATTAGGTTGCAGTGACCCCATTAGGTCACAGTGACCACATTAGGTTGCAGTGACCACATTAGGTCACAGTGACCACATTAGGTCACAGTGACCACAGTGACCACATTAGGTCACAGTGACCACATTAGGTCACAGTGACCACATTAGGTCACAGTGACCACAGTGACCACATTAGGTTGCAGTGACCCCATTAGGCCACAGTGACGACATTAGGCTACAGTGACCACATTAGGTCACAGTGACCCCATTAGGTCACAGTGACCCCATTAGGTCACAGTGACCACATGAGGCCACAGTGACCCCATTTGGTCACAGTGACCACATTAGGCCACAGTTACCACATTAGGTCACAGTGACCACAGTGACCACATTAGGCTACAGTGGCCACATTAGGCTACAGTGACCACATTAGGTTGCAGTGACCACATTAGGTCACAGTGACCCCATTAGGTCACAGTGACCACATTAGGTCACAGTGACCACATTAGGTCACAGTGACCCCATTAGGTTGCAGTGACCACATTAGGTCACAGTGACCATATGAGGCCACAGTGACCACATTAGGCCACAGTGACCACATTAGGTCACAGTGACGACATTAGGTCACAGTGACCACAGTGACCACATTAGGTCACAGTGACCACATTAGGTCACAGTGACCACATTAGGTCACAGTGACCACAGTGACCACATTAGGCCACAGTGACCACATTAGGTCACAGTGACCACATTAAGCCACAGTGACCACATTAGGCTACAGTGACCACATTAGGCTACAGTGACCACATTAGGCTACAGTGACCACATTAGGTCACAGTGACCACATTAGGTTGCAGTGACCACATTAGGTCACAGTGACCACATTAGGTCACAGTGACCACAGTGAGCACATTAGGTCACAGTGACCACATTAGGTCACAGTGACCACATTAGGCCACAGTGACCACATTAGGTCACAGTGACTCCATTAGGTTGCAGCGACCACATTAGGTCACAGTGACCATATGAGGCCACAGTGACCACATTAGGCCACAGTGACCACATTAGGTCACAGTGTCCACATTGGGTCACAGTGACCCCATTAGGTCACAGTGACCACATTAGGCCAGTGACCACATTAGGCCACAGTGACCACATTAGGCCACAGTGACCACATTAGGTCACAGTGACTCCATTAGGTTGCAGCGACCACATTAGGTCACAGTGACCATATGAGGCCACAGTGACCACATTAGGCCACAGTTACCACATTAGGTCACAGTGACCACATTAGGTTGCAGTGACCACAGTGACCACATTAGGTTGCAGTGACCACATTAGGTCACAGTGACCACATTAGGTCACAGTGACCACAGTGACCACATTAGGCCACAGTGACCACATTAGGTCACAGTGACCACATTAGGCTACAGTGACCACATTAGGCTACAGTGACCACATTAGGTTGCAGTGACCACAGTGACCACATTAGGTTGCAGTGACCACATTAGGTCACAGTGACCACATTAGGTCACAGTGACCACAGTGACCACATTAGGCCACAGTGACCACATTAGGTCACAGTGACCACAGTGACCACATTAGGCTACAGTGACCACATTAGGCCAGTGACCACATTAGGCTACAGTGACCACACTGGGCCAAAGTGTTTCAGTGACCACATTAGGCCATATTAGCCTACAGTGTTTCGAAGAACAAACGTGACCTAAGGTCTTCGCTCATTTACCAGCTTCACTTACCTTATTGCCGTACAAATACTGGAGGAAGGGCCTTTGCTATTGATACCCCGAGGGTCTGGAATGCTATTGCCAATAACTTTAATCACTACCTTTGAGATCTCCACATTTAAAACTGCTCTAGAGGAGTTGTACACCCCTAGCGGCCACTGTTATTCAGTGGCCTAAAATTAAGTGTTTCGCTCCGGATTACCGCTACAAAGTATGATCTTGTGTTTTGATTTAGTGTGCTGATCTTTAAAGGTGCATTGAAAAATGTTGATACTCCTACTGATGCTCCTGCTGTTGTGGAGTGACTCATGCAGGCAGCTGTGGCTGCAGGGTTTGGTGGTACATGTTGTTTATTGTGAAATTTCGGTCACAGTTCTTATGATCACTGTTACATTGCTTTCATGGCTTTATTTTGGTGATTTCGAAAATGTTTTTTGGTTTGGCCATGTTTGTTTGTTGTAGTACGGAGTTAAACTGATGGCTTTAATCTAAGTTGTCTTGTGATTGTTGTTGTTTGACTTGCATCCCACTGGGATTTTTGCACACAGCGTTGGTGTACGGTGCCTTTTCTGGAATATTTGACTGTTTTTTCCTGCATTTTTCCGTTTGCGCATAGTCACTTTAAGATGTTTTCTTGTTCATGTTTTTGTTTGCACCCGATTCAAGAGACGAATGTGTCGGTGTAGGCTGACCCCTGGCTCCTCGCTCACGTGGGATCCACTGCTCCCCTCTTCCATGTCCTGGGGAGGGTTACTGCTCACCGACTCCCCCCCCCCTCCTTCGCTGCGGCCCCTCGGGGCATGATTCGTGGCTGGCGCTTAGCCACCTGGGATCAATTCACACAATCTCTGCGCACACTCACTCACACCCACTCACTCGAAATCCGACATCGCTCTTCTCCCGTGCCACTCATCAATCGCGCGCGCGGGACTCGGGGTCAGGGGTCAGAGGGCAGGGACGCCACTCGCACACGCGCAGCCGATTCGGGGGGGGGGGGGGGGGTTGTCTCGGAGATTTATTTAAAGAGCTGTATGAACAATCTCACGGGTACGCCGCCCGTTCACCCCAAGCACACGCTAAACAAAAGGCCGCACGAATAATGTCGCGTGTACGCCGCCCGTTAGCCTCACGCACACGTTAAACACAAGGGCGTGTGAGTAATCTCACGTGCCCCTGTACGAGTCCGCCGCCGCTCACCACACGCACACGCTAACCACGAGCTCCACGCATGGGCGAGCGCAAACACGTGGGTAAATACACCCTCACGCACAACCATAGGGTACAACGACGCACACCAACATGCATCCGTTCCACCCTCGCAGAAACCACACGACAAGGTTTATTGATCCACAACAGCTTATTCTCAGCGAGTCCGAGGCTAAATTACCCGAGTCAGTTTGAGTCAGTAGGGCAGGTCTAACCTATCTCCCGATGGTCTAAAGACCCGATCTGTATCGCCTCTTTCAAATCACTCTCCTAAGACAATCTCACAATGGCCTCGATATCTCACTCTTGGGTACTCGTACGGAGCTGCTGGGTCGGGTCCTCGCTGCACTTCGACTCGTCACACGGACGTTCGAGTGGCTGGGAAATCGACGGCCCCGAGCCTGGCTTGAGTAGAACACGAACTCTATCCCTACCTTCTCTACTCCTCTTATTGTCCTCTACATCAAAGATAAATCGGCGCTGATCCGCTGGCCTCCCGTCCAATCAGGTGGCTCGGATTTCCTGCCACTCTCCCCGGGCCGGTGCTCTCTCAGACGTCCGCTTTTCACCCTCTAAACAAGCGCATCTGTCCTACCAATCAGAGGGCCGGCACTGTTTTTCCTGCCGTTCGTGACTCCGTCCCCCCCTACCTGCCTGCTGACCCGTGTGTGTTGTGGGTGTTTTCTATCCGCGGTGGCTCAGCAGCCCCGTCGTGACCACGTGATTACAACCCAAGTCACGGCGCCGCGGTGCGAGTTAGCCTTGGGGGAGGTCGCCCAGTTCCCTGGTCGCAGGAAACCGTGAAGCTTGGTCCCATGAGAGGGCTTCTGGGTGAAAACCTGTCGGCCAGGTGACCTCCCCTCGGGGCTCTACGTGAGGGTGTTTGTGTGTTCATGTGGGGGCTCTATGTGGGGGTGTGTGTGTTCATGTGGGGGCTCTTTGTGGGTGTGTGTTCATGTGGGGGCTCTGTGTGTGTGTTCATGTGGGGGCTCTATGTGTGTGTTCATATGGGGGCTCTTTGTGGGTGTGTGTGTGTTCATGTGGGGGCTCTATGTGTGTGTGTGTTCATGTGGGGGCTCTTTGTGGGTGTGGGTGTTCATGTGGGGGCTCTACGTGTGTGTGTGTGTGTTCATATGGAGGCTCTATGTGGGTGGGTGTGTGTGTGTTCATGTAGGGGCTCTATGTGGGGGGTGTGTGTTCATGTGGGGGCTCTATGTGGGGGTGTGGGGGTGTTCATGTGGGGGCTCTATGTGGGTGTGTGTTCATGTGGGGGCTCTATGTGGGTGTGGGTGTGTTCATGTGGGGGCTCTATGTGGGTGTGTGTGTGTTCATGTGGGGGCTCTATGTGGGTGTGTGTGTGTGTTCATGTGGGGGCTCTATGTGGGTGTGTGTGTTCATGTGAGGGCTCTATGTGTGTGTTCATGTGGGGGCTCTATGTGGGTGTGTGTGTGTGTTTATGTGGGGGCTCTATGTGGGTGGGTGTGTTCATGTGAGGGCTCTATGTGGGTGTGTGTGTTCATGTGAGGGCTCTATGTGGGTGTGTTCATGTGGGGGCTCTATGTGGGTGTGTGTGTTTATGTGGGGGCTCTATGTGGGTGGGTGTGTTCATGTGAGGGCTCTATGTGGGTGTGTGTGTTCATGTGAGGGCTCTATGTGGGTGTGTTCATGTGGGGGCTCTATGTGGGGGCTCTATGTGGGTGGGTGTGTGTGTTCATGTGGGGGGTGGTGAGGCAGGAGCAGCGTCGGCCCCATCTCTCGGAGGTGGCGGCGTCGCGGCCACGGCTCCGACGGAGCGGCTTCGCTGCTGCGACACCACAAATGGCTCACAGGGCTATACCAAATAAATGAAACTGAAACATTAAGCCACATGAGGCCACAGTGATCACAGGCCGCAGTGACCCACAGTAGGTGGCGGTGACCACATTAGGACATTAGGCCACAGTGACCCACATTAGGTCACCGTGACCCACATTAGGCCACAGTGACCACATTAGGACATTAGGCCACAGTGACCCACATTAGGCCACAGTGACCCACATCATTAGGCCACAGTGACCCACATTAGGCCACTTTGACACATTGGGCCACAAGCTTGCGATCGTACGTCATGACGTCACGACGCACGCGCGTTTGACAAAAAAAACCACGCCTCCGGATTACGACCGTGACGTCATCGCGCGCGCGCTGACGTCACGGTCACGCGACTTTTTTTGTTATCGCGTACCCCACCCCCCGTCGTCGCCGGACCCGCGTGACGTCACCCACATTGTAACTTAACTCGCCGCCATCTTCGTAAGGGGTGGGCGCTGATAAACCCTCGCATTGCCAGTGGCGAGCTTCTCGAATGACGTCACAGCATGACGCAACGTGTGGTGATTGGCGGTTGTGTGGGGGGGGGGCGATTGTGTGGGGGGGGCGATTGTGTGGGGGGGGGGGCGATTGTGTGGGGGGGGGCGATTGTGGGGGGGGCGATTGTGGGGGGCGGTTGTGTGGGGGGGGGTTATTTATCGTCTCTATCACCTCACGTAAGATGGTTACCGGCGGCCTCAACAGCGGCGTGGCTGGCTGGGTAGGTGGGTGGGTGGGTTGCTGGGCTCCGTGTAGCAGAGGACCTCGCGAACCGAGGACGCAGCGGATGGGATGAGAAGGCGAACTTAGTCAATCGATCACGAGCGATACGTTAACGGTTTAGTGAGTTGTTTAACGGTTGTTGTCGTTATTGTTGTTATTAATAGCTGCCGTGTGGGTAAAGGGGGGTGGGTTGGTGGTTTGGGGAACAACTTGCGGCCTGAGTTTGCCCGGTGAGTTTGTCCGTCAATTTGAGAGCGAAATAATGAAAGTATTTACAGGGTTAAAATGTTTCGCGTTGTTACACTGGCAATGGCGATCACGCGATAGGATTGTGTTGATGTTAGCGGTGTTGTAGATTTATTTTTGTTTGGTTGCTGTAAGCAATAGGTATTCGGTGAGTTTGCATTCTTAGTACTTACATAAGCCGTTTTTTTTAAACGATACAGGTTGTAAACGTATAGTGACACACCACACATACAACCCACACACGTTAGACAGTGACACACACATTAAGACAGTGACACACACATTAAGACAGTGACACACATTAAGATAGTGACACACACATTAAGACAGTGACACACACATTAAGACAGTGACACACATTAAGACTGACACACACATTAAGACAGCGACACACATTAAGACTGACACACATTAAGACAGTGACACACATTAAGACAGTGACACACACATTAAGACAGTGACACGCACATTAAGACAGTGACACACACATTAAGACAGTGACACACACATTAAGACAGTGACACACATTAAGACAGTGACACACATTAAGATAGTGACACACATTAAGATAGTGACACACACATTAAGACAGTGACACACACATTAAGACAGTGACACACATTAAGACTGACACACATTAAGACAGTGACACACATTAAGACAGTGACACACATTAAGACAGTGACACACATTAAGACAGTGACACGCACATTAAGACAGTGACACACACATTAAGACAGTGACACATTAAGACAGTGACACGCACATTAAGACAGTGACACGCACATTAAGACAGTGACACACACATTAAGACAGTGACACGCACATTAAGACAGTGACACGCACATTAAGACAGTGACACGCACATTAAGACAGTGACACACACTTTAAGACAGTGACACACACATTAACACAGTGACACACACATTAAGACAGTGACACACACATTAAGACAGTGACACACACGTTAGACAGTGACACACACGTTAAGACAGTGACACACACATTAAGACAGTGACACATTAAGACAGTGACACACACGTTAAGACAGTGACACGCACATTAAGACAGTGACACACATTAAGACAGTGACACACCACACATACAACCCACACACATTAAGACAGTGACACACACATTAAGACAGTGACACGCACATTAACACAGTGACACACCACACAGTAATACGCGCACACCCGGCATCACACATCAAGACGGTGACAACAGACACACACACACACCCCAGACACGCACTAAAGACAAGCGGACACACCTCGCCACACACAGTCGCGCACGCCAACGACCGGCGACACACGAACAAACGATCCGCCGTGGCATATCCCTTAGCGGACTTTGGAGGCAAGCGCTGACACGCACACAACCACCACACACAACCACACACACACAACCACCACACACACACACAACCACACACACACACAACCACACGCACACACACTCTCTCTCTTCACGTGCCCTCCCTCCACCACCCCCACCCCCAGGACCCCCGACCATCATGAACGGCCTCTCGCTCAGCGAACTCTGCTGCCTCTTCTGCTGCCCGCCGTGCCCAAGTCGCATCGCGGCCAAGCTCGCCTTCCTCCCGCCGGAGCCCACCTACGCCCTCGTGGCTGACGAGACGGCTGCCCGCTGGTCGCTGCACCTCACCGAGAAGGCCGAGTGGCAGTACTCCCAGCGGGAGCTCGACGCCGTAGAGGTCTCCCTGACGCGCACGGCCCGCGGGAACCGCGTTGCGTGCATGTTCGTGCGCTGCGCGCCCAGCGCTCGCTACACACTGCTCTTCTCGCACGGCAACGCCGTGGACCTGGGCCAGATGAGCAGCTTCTACGTGGGGCTCGGCACGCGCATCAACTGCAACGTCTTCTCGTACGACTACTCGGGCTACGGCGCGAGCACGGGGCGGCCCTCCGAGAAGAATCTCTACGCCGACATCGAGGCGGCGTGGCAGGCGTTGCGCACCAGGTGTGTGTTGGCGGGTTGTGGTGGTTACGGTGGTTGGTGGTGGTGGTGGTCGTGGTGGTGGTTTGTGTTGGTACTAGTGGGGGAAGTTGGTATCTGTGGAGGTGGTGGTGGTGGTGGTTTGTGTTGGTACTAGTGGGGGAAGTTGGTATCTGTGGAGGTGGTGGTGGTGGTTTGTGTTGGTACTAGTGGGGGAAGTTGGTATCTGTGGAGGTGATGGTGGTTACGGTGGTGGTGGTCGTGGTTTGTGTTGGTGCCAGGGGGGGGGGGGAGTTGGTATCTGTGATGGTGGTGGTCGTGGTTTGTGTTGATACTAGGGGGGAAGTTGGTATCTGTGGAGGTGGTGGTGGTCGTGGTTTGTGTTGGTACTAGTGGGGGAAGTTGGTATCTGTGGAGGTGATGGTGGTTACGGTGGTGGTGGTGGTTTGTGTTGGTACTAGTGGGGGAAGCTGGTATCTGTGGAGGTGATGGTGGTTACGGTGGTGGTGGTCGTGGTTTGTGTTGGTGCTGGGGGGGGAGTTGTTATCTGTGATGGTGGTGGTGGTCGTGGTTTGTGTTGGTACTAGGGGGGAAGTTGGTATCTGTGGAGGTGATGGTGGTTACGGTGGTGGTGGTCGTGGTTTGTGTTGGTACTAGGGGGGAAGTTGGTATCTGTGGAGGTGATGGTGGTTACGGTGATTGTGGTGGTGGTTGTGTAGGTAGTAGGGAAGTTGTTATCTGTGGAGGTGATGGTGACGACTGTTGGTAGTATGGGAAGTGGTACCAGCAGGGCTAATTGATGGTGTTTGTGGTTAGGGTGGTTGTGGTTAGGGTGGTAGTGGTGATGGCTGTGTTGGTAGTAGGGGAAGTGGTATCAGTGGAGGTGATTGATGGTGATTGTGGTTAGGGTGGTAGTGACTGCTAATGGGAAAGTGGTATCAGCAAAGGTGATTGATGGTGATTATAGTTGTGGTGGCGGTTGTGATTGCATTTGTTGCTGGTGGTGGTAGCAGTGGTGATGTCACAGTTGTGGTAGTCCTCGTTGAGGTGGTTATTCTGGTGATGATGTGGGTGGTGATACTGGCAATAGTTGTAGTCGTGTTGGTGATTGTTCACATGGTAGTGATGGATTTGTCGGAAGCGCTTCACTCACAAACGGAATATCCTGCAGTGAAATTCCCAGTTGGGGTGTCAACTATTCCCATCATTCATCCAAGGTCGATAAAACGGATACAATTTTGTCAACCCATACGTTTTGCCCGTATTCTTGTACAGGGAAATTGAGTTTTCAGGTGCATGTCGGCGTACAGCCGTTTCAATACGAGCAATTTATTTTACAAATTTTGTCTTTTGATTGTGTTTCTCCTTTACGTGAACGTTGCGATTTATAAGGGCACGGGGGTGACCAATACGGTCTGAATTGGTCTGCAGTCTCTTTTGCAGACAGATGCCGGCCATTAGAATAACGTTGGCGATGCTGGTTTTAGTTGCATGAAGGCCTTTTTGTTGTTGCTCACATTGAGGTGAAGTTACACCCGAGGTCATAACTTGGAGAACAACGATGTTGTGATGTGCGTGGGATGGCACAGCAAGTAGGTTTTGCTGTGTAATTGTTTCGCGGTGTCCGAGTGTTATGACCTTGAAAGAGATGGTGAGATATTAACTACCTCTCTTGGTATACAGGAGGTCGTGGTTTCGATCCCGACCCTGACGCCTGCTGTATATTTAGAGTTTTCGTCTCTCTCTCTCTCCCCCCCCAGACTCGTAGGTTTTTTCTCAGGGTCTTCCGGCTTTTCCGTCCACATTTAGAATGAACACGCGTTTACAGTATTTGGCTGCTATAAATGTCCACGTGATAAGCCACTTCGTTGAGCTATCATTTGTGGCCAGGTCGCTTCTGAAAAAAAGCTATGTAACTCAGTGGCCCTTACCTGGTAAAATATAAAAACATTGTTTAGTTTTTTTTTTAAATGGCCCAGCTGTATCACGTTCGTTGATTGTTGTAGAGATTAGCAGTTTTTTTTTATCTGGAAGGCCATTCTGGTTATTACTACCGAGTGTGGTAACCGTAAAAACATGCGCCGTCTGCTTCGTAGTGGACGTTGAAATACCCAGTTACGTCATTCAAAAAGAGGCCATTGTGTGCCGGCGTCATGGCCTCAATTTGCCAACTTAAAAAAAACACCCACAAATTACACAGCGGGGATTACATACGAGTCATTTGCAGGTAATTTTGTTTGGAAAATTGGGTTTGCGCACGGCAATCATCGCCGCCAACTTTCAGACTAATGCCCCCTCGCAGGCCAGTGCTGAGTCCTGTTGTACCACTCAGGCGCAAGCTGCCATTGGGGGTTCCCCTAAGCTAAACAACTGCCCTCTGATGCTTATTGTTATGCCATGGGCACGCTGTTGAATGTGGATCGTTATTACAAGTTTGTTGTGAGTTTTTCCATCGACTCGGCAGAGGGAGTTTTGATGAAAATTCTGGAGAGGAGCCGCGTGGAAATGTATTCTTTTTTATTCCGGATATACCTTTTTGGGGTTTAAAATCCTTACAATAGTCGCACAATTCTTAAGTTTTGTTGTGCTCTTTGATTTTTTTTTTGTTTAATCACACTAATTGTGGGATTAAGATAATTCTTGAAAGTCGCAAGGTACTTGAAATTAGCGGTGAGCGGTAGTGACTGGATCATAAATTCCACAGGGACTACTCAATTGGACGCTTTGTCATCGTCTTAAAAAGGCTGGCATGATGGCGTTTGATATTAATCTGTCTCCTTTCATTGACAATGTTGCGTGGCAAAGGAAAGAAAAGATAAAATAAGCTTAAGCAACCCTTACATGACGGTGCATTCATGAAGAATTTGATAATTTTTCGTCTCACGACTGATGTTGATGGAGAGACACAAGTAGAATTTTACAGTGTGGTGCTTAAGCGACATAATTGCATCAGAAGTGGATTAACAAAGGGCTATAAAAACATTACGAAATGACACATCATTTACACCCCTAACTCCCGCAAGAGATCGTACATTTTCACAGGCAAGGACTTTGGCCAGACATAATATACACGTACTTACGCACGTACTTACGCGCGCATACCTGGATGCTACCTTGGGATAACGGTCCGCACACCGGACTTGCAATCCAGTGGTCGCCGTTTGGATCTCCCGGCGCGGCATGTGAAACAATGGGAGAAGTTTTATTTTTTATTTTAAGCCACAACAGCCGATTGGCAGTCCGTTTGTCGTGGGTGTAAAGTTTGGGGACTCCCACCTCTTCCGAGACGCCTGGCCAAAAAGGAAGAGTAGGCCAACATCCCCTCTAGAGGTGCTCTCTGGAGCTTCCGATACTGCAAACCCTTCAACCGGCAGCAATAAATTGCAGGGCCGTGCCTTTTTTTGTTTGTTACCTTTTTACATGCATACCTTTGTATGTCGTCGCCACATGTTTCCATACCCGCTTCCTTCAAGCCGGTGCTGAACCAGACTCGGTTGTCTGTGGCCGTGAAGTACAACTTCAACCCAGAAGCACCCACCACCCATTGCAGGGAAAGCACCTGTGGGAACTTTTTGCACGAGCGTCAGTGTTGCGCCACGGTGGCGAGACGTTAACTACCTCGCTTGGTACACAAGAGATTGCGCGTTCGAGCCCAACCCTTACGCCTGTATATTTGGAGTTTGCGTGTTCTCCCCATGGTCGCGTGGATTTTTCTCCGAGTCCTGTTTTTCCTTCCACGTTTTGGATCCACGTGCATTCAGAGTATTTGGCTGCTATCAATCTCCACATGACAAGTCACTTTGTTGAGCTATCATTTGTGGCCAGGTGGCTTCCGAAAGAGAGCTATATAGCTCAGTGGGCCTTGCCTGGTAAAAACAATATGGTAGTTTAGTAAAAAATATATATATAGTGTGTCGAGGTTGTGACATTATCTGTCCACCGTCAGGTTCCATGTCGAGAGTTTTCACAAAGACGCGCGACGATGGCGCGGTTGAGCTTTTGTCACTCACCACGAAACAATTACACAGCACAAATTGTAAGTGGGGTAATGCATCGACTCTTCGGTTATGCTTTCTTTTCCAGCATCGTGGTAATCGGCTGCTAGGTGAAGGTCCTTCCCACGCAGTGGCGTAGCAATCAAAGTGTGCAGGCGATGCACCTGCACCGTAGCAAACGCCGGGGCTATGAAGTGGAGTGCAAATAGGACAGGGGATGACTCGTTGATTCCTCCTCCAATGTCGACTGAATATTTCGTCTCATCCGTACTGCGTATAACCACCAAAAACTGCAGTTCAGAACGCTTCCCATCGTCTCTCTCTCTGCCCAAGTTCTTGATACCTTGCTCAATTCAAGAAGCCTACGAACTCTCTTTATCTATGGCGGTTGTAATGATAGTGCCGTGTAATTGTTGACTGCTTTCCGTTGAGGAATTTTCGCTTGTTGGCCTTTTTCTCAGCAACCGTGATAAACACATTTTTAAAACACATTACGCCACTGCACTCCCCTTACCTCTCCCCCTTACCTCCGCCCCTCGCGCGCTCTCTGTGTCCTCCACCTGATGCATGCAAATTTGCGCTTCGAGCTGAGCCGGGCTTTTACAGCGGCTCGCCATGACGCACGCGGACGTGAAGCACACAAGGTCAAATTGGCCGTTGTCAAGACGCGTTGAGCCGGAACGGGTGGGAACGGTGACTGTGACCTTTTCGCAACCGGGCGAATTCCCCCCCACCCCTTCACCACGGCATTTTTTTCCCCGTAAACTGTGGACCACGGAGAATTGCGTCGGCCGCACGACGTCCCGAAGTGATAACAAATCATTATCACCATCTGATGACTGACACGCGGAGGGAGCAGTTGTTCCCAGGCTCGACGGAGCGTGAACAGATCAATCGTGACGAGCCGGCCGAGAGCAGACGATTTGACGGCACCCACTCCTGTTGGGATGATTATCCGGTCCACGCGATCATCTTCATCATCTTTATCATCACCATCATCTTCATCATCATCTACTATGCAAGTGGAAG